GCGGTGCAGCCGGATCGGAGCGGGATCTCATGTGTCTAATTTTAAATAGAAGGAAACTAAAGCACAAAAGGAAAACTAAATGACTTACCCAAAATAGCAAGCCTTTGAGGGGCCATGCTGAGACTTTAAATCTCTCTCTTGACCTCTTGGTCCTTTCTAAACTGCATTTCGCTCCTTGCTGGATACCAGAACAATATAAAACTAATTGTGCTGCCATTTTACAACTAGGTTTGTTGTTTTTTTTTATGTTTTAGAGATCAACAACAACAAAATAGCCCCACTGTAGTGGGAAGAACAGTCTTTAAAGTCAGAGAGATTTTAAAGCTCAAATCCAGCTTTGGCCACTATCTCTGAGCCCTTTTATAATTGTTTTAGTTTTCAGTTTCCTCATGAAGCAGGAATTTTTAGGGGTGAAAAAGACAGGTTTTAGTAAATTTTAGAAATTTTGGAAATTAAGGGGACCATGGAGGAAGCACAGGGCTGCAGAGCAACAGAAGGTATATTTCCATAGAATGGGGGAACTGAAAAGCTGCAACAGGTACATTTCCATAGAATGAGGGAGCTGGGAACAGCAAAAGGTCTATATTTACAAAATAAAGAGAAGGAAGCCCTTCATCCAGAAAAAGAAGAAGAAAGCCCAAAGGGAACAGGAAAACAATAAGGAAGGAGGGGGGCAGAACCTCAGGTCTCTCTTGGGACATGTGAGGTTGACCTTGGAGCTCAGGAGTTACTATAGTAACCAATCTAAGGGAATAGTGACCAATCAGAGGGGATATTAAGGCACAAGGATCTGTAGCCTTTATAAGCCATAGAAGAAAGGAACTCTGTAGGACCCTTTCCATCTCCCTACATGGGAGTCCGTTCTGGGGGACTCTTTGCCCCTCCCCACGTGGGAGCCTGTACTTGTTCTTCAATAAACCTCCATCTTTGCTATACCACCTTCTGTCCTTGGATTCATTCTTCTACTTCAGCAGAAAAAGAATCCGGGTTCCAGTTCAGGGAAACACTGCGTGTTCCAATCCAAAATTTCTCTATCACTCATTTATGGAAGCTACTTGCTGACAGGGCCAATGTGAGAATTGATTAAAGCCATCTATACAAAATGTCTGATATTCATCTGTTACCAATGGATGGGCCTTGAGTATACAATGCTATGTAAAATAAGCCAGAAAGAGAAAGACAAATACCACGTGATTTCACTCATAGTGAAGCATAGTAATGATCCCTCCTTTGGAAAAACTGCTGTTTGAAATTCTCTGCTATTTTTAGATAGCCCCTTGCTCTGTAAGTCAACTATGTTATTTTTAGACGGTCTCTTATTCTGTAAAAATAACTTTGTTTTTTTAGCTTAAATAATAGAAAAGATAAACTTAACTGTCTGACCTTGCAAGCTAGCCATCTAAAGGGGTTGATACGCTAATACTAATAATAATTCCTATATTCTCATGCCAAGTGTTTGTTCATTATGTATCCAAGGTCACAAACTATCTGCAAAAAATAACTTACATAGAGCTCTTTGTAAAATCTGAAAAGGGCTCAAAAAGGTATAACTAGAGAGAACTTCCTGTATGTGTTGGTTCAGAATTTGACAGAGATATCCTGCTCTAAACCGCGTGCAATAAACGACTCCTAATTAATTGGCTTGTTAAGGCATCTTGTCTAGCTCGCTGATTTACAATATAACAGAAGAAGCCTAGCTCTTTGATGACTTCCTAGAGCAATAGCACCCATTATAGACTGCCCACCTCTGGAGTTCTGGTTATGTGAGAAATATCTACTTGATTGAGCCATAGTCAAGATTTCTGTTGCATGATGCCATCACAATTCTAAGTGACAAATGGCTTCAGCAGATTTTAATATTGTTCAAAAAAATACTTGGAAAGTTTATTATCAAACTTTGAAGAACTAGCTCACACTTCTCTAACAAAATTTTAAAAAAAACCTTACACAAAGACCTAGAAGAATATAAAAAGGAAATACTCCTTCCTGCATTTGTTCAGAATTTGACAGAAATATTCTTCTCTGAACCCACATGCAATAAAGGACTCCTAATTAATTGGCTTGTTAAGGCATCTTGTATCTAGTTTGCTGATTGACAATACAACAATAGCTTGAATGTAAAAAAGTAAATAAATAAAAAGTACAAAACAAAAACAAAAAACTCATAGATACAGAGAACATCTTTAGTGGTTAGCTGAGGGCAAAGGGATGGAGGATAAACAAAAGGGGTGAAAGGGGTCAATCCTATGGTGATGGTAGGTAACTAGACTTTCAGGTTGATCACTTTGTAGTATATACAGATGTGGAATGATAATATTGTACACCTGAAACTTAAATGATAAAAGTAATATAAAAATAAAATATCTAGCATTAAGGCAAATGCACAATAAATGTTCATTTCTCTCATTATAGAAATAAGTGAATAGCATATTTCTAAAGTTAATTGGGTAAATGGAGACATGAGGATGGATTCACTTCATTTCTTCCCTTCAGAGAATAAAAAGGTGATGTTGTATTCTCAGAAGTTGTGTCATACATACATAGGGTACATAAAGAAGCTAAATGATAAATAAAACAGGCTTTTGAATTCACTGAGTGGGTAGCTTACATCTTTTGAGCATGAGATAATAAAAGTTCATTGAGAATTTTGACATCAAGGAAGTTGACGCAACAATGGCATTGAATGGGCAAGTCATATGGCTCAAGGAAAAATTGCTGAGGTGAATGAAAATAGAAACAACTGTCTCAAAAAAATTCAATAAGAGAGTGCTTATAAGGAACACACTTCTCACAGGCAAAGAACATTTATGATTTAAACTTTCAGGAAAGGAAAAAAGACAAAATTGATGAGGCCAAAAGTCAAGATTAAGATACATCCTGATGCCAGAGTCAAGATGAAATCCCAATTAATAAGCAACAGGACAGATCCAGTAATATTTAGAAGAAACCCTACTTAGGATGTATTTAAAACCAATATCTCTTCACAAATAAAAATATAATAAAAAACATTAGAGGCACCTGTTATCCCTCACTGACTATCTCTAAATTCAGGGCACCAATCAAGTACAAGGAACCATCACTATCCTTTTTCCTCCCCCACACTCACTCCAAAGTCTTACCATTTTTATCAGAAATATATTCTACAAAATGAGACAAAGAAGAGTGAGTTAACAATGTATTCTTCCATATATTTTCATATAAAAATTGAATAAAAATAGATTCAATTTTAAATGAATTTAACTGACATAAAGGTGTATAGCGGCAATTTACAAATAATAATAAAATATGCAATGCTCTTTATTGTATATTTCATATTGACAAATTATCACAGACAATAAATTTTGTTGAATTTTGCTGAATTTTCCAATTCACAAACTATGATTGTAACTGACAAACGGGTGTTGCTCTGTCATAAATTCTGGTTTGTTTGTGTTAACAAATGAGAAAAAAATGAGACAATTAAGATACATGTCAGAATTCATTAGCTGATGATATGAGCAACTTCTTTTGCTGAATCAGATAATAATTTTGAATATGAGAGGAATATTTCTTCAGATTAAAGTCTTAGTGACAATGTATATGCAGATAATAAAACATTTCTGTCTTATTAACATTATCTCTTTCATTTTTGTAAGTTGAGATATCAACAAAACAATAAATGGCAATGGTTGCTGATTTCCTTGGTGCAAGTACTCCCACCATGAGTGATTTTCAGGCACTTATAAATGTCTTTGAATGCAGGGTAGAAAAGAGATGCACGGTAGCACACCATTATATAGTATTTCAACCATGCAGATGCAATATTCAAAAGTAATCTCAAGAGCAAAGACATAGGAAAATGTGTATAATAATTAGGAGGTAATGGCATGTGAGTTTTTATTACCCATTTGTTACTATATGTTATATAATTGTAAGCTTATATAAAAATTTTAGCATTAGTTTTATTTAAAAACTGGCTCATAAAATTCCTGAAAAATTTAATCCTGTGCATTTGCAAACCAGGAAAAGCTGACTCTGCGACAGCTCTGAATGTGCAAGACACTTGCCATGTTGATGTGACCACTGTTATAAACATTCTTGTAGGAGAGACACATATTATAGGAATTATATTATTCATGATTTAATTGCACTGCATTCATTCATTCAGTCAACAAATATTTATTAAACTCACTGCTTATAAGACCCTGTGAGCAGTACTAGGGAGTAAAAATATAAGATGGCAATGAGGAACATGGCAGCGTTCCTAAAGAAACAGCATTTTCTTTGAGAGTTGAGCAGGGAGTCACACTGGACAACATGTGATTCAGAGAGGTTAA